TTATACGTTGTATTTAATGCAACGAAAAGTGTTTATACTTAAATACCTATAATTGTAAGCGATTTGAAAATTCATTTTTAGAATAAAAGTAATTTCTTATGAAATACTGAAATTCTAAGATGCGTCTTTTTTATCAGCTCATTAAATTATAGTTTGTTCACTAATTAATAAGTAGATTAATTAGTTTACAAATAAGTATTGAAATATATTTAGAATAATAATCTTTTGTTATTGATCCAAAAAGTGCAAAAATTAAATCAAGACAGTTTAAATCATGATCTAAATATGATTATGCATACGTTCAAATAATAAAATAATGTTTTTCGTAAAACAAGTCATAATAGATGTATAAAATATTTAAAAAACGGAAATGTATTTTGAATTTAAAGTATATTATGTTATATTTAATCTATGATACTTGTTAACAAAAACTCATAAGCGTTTCCATATTTTTAATTTATAAAATTTTATATTCAACCTTTTCTTTGTTTTAGTTTTTTTTTTTTTTGGAGTACGCCCAAATGTTTAAACGGGTTTTAAACTGTTAAATAGTCTTTTTCCTGCTATTCAACCTCTTCTATTATGCAAAATATTAAATCTGTTTATTCAAAATATTTAAACTCAATGATTTTTATATTTATTTAAATATATATATAAAATAATGCATTATATTAAAGATATAATAATTAATTATTCTAGATAATTAACTGCATTTTTTTGATATTTAATTCATTAAACGCAATATTTTCCATTGTTTTGATTCTGTATAGTTCTAATTGTATTCTAACAAAATTTCAATATTTTATTGAAAACACCTCGAGCACGTTTTTTTTTTATTATAGTATAATGCAGACGTTCATATTTATAATAATAAAAATTATCATATTATTTTTTTTTTGTTTTTTCTCTTCGTTTTTTAAAATAATAAGATATTCTCCAAAAATAAATCTTTAAATAAAATAAAAAAAAGGTATTTTTTTACTATTTTACTATATATACTATAAACTATTATTTTTACTATTTAAAGTTATTTTTTTAATCATTATTTGTACTGTCATTGTTATAATTATTTTAAGATATTATTATTAATATTATACAAGTATTTTACTATTATGGTAATTAAATAAAAGCTATTGTTTTTTCTTATTACATTCATGAGAAAAGTTCAGGCCCCCACTCCTAAGAATTTTTTTCTTATTTTCTCCACTGAAGATCATACACTTACAAATGCATGCATAAACTAATCCCTCACATTGTACCATCACGATTCGTATTTATAAGTTTTATCATATTATAAGTCCAATAATAATACAACTTTTTTCTTCTAAAAATGATTAATTGAAAATCGATTAACCAACAGGCTTGGTCTACGGTAATAATATTTTCCGACTAAAGAACAACTAAAAAAGAAAACTAAACAAAATCGATTGCTTTGAGTGCTGTCATGAAGGTTCATCTTCGCTGATAAACGAGTAGAAATAACATTTTATTTTTTTTTTTTTTTGGATCTCTCTGAAAAAATTACTATTAGTATAGGATTTTAAGAGTAGTAGTATTCTCAGTGTGTGATTTTTCACTTGGTATCTGATCTGAAATGTGTACATCCTTCGATTACCTTTTGCAATACTCTTAATAAATGTATGAAATAAAATGATAGATGAATTAACAAGCGGTATAATATATGTAAATTATTCCCGAAGAATTTCAGATAAAAAAAAAAAAATGAATTAACATAAATAAATTTTAAGTTATTAATGCTTGTGGTATAATATTCAAAACTTTAACATTTTTTACAGTAAAAATAAATAATGATGATTTATGAATAATTTATTAATAATGATATTTAAGTAATAAATAAAATATAAGGAACTAGTACAAATATATGAAAATAAATTAACAAAATTATAAAGAAATTAATACAAATTGTATCATAATTTCTGTATTGAATAAAAATTGTTATTCTATATAAACAATATTCTCCTATTTCGAAATAATATAATTGTATAGTAAATGATTAATTGATCGATCCAATATAATGTAAACATTTTTATATCTGAATATTATAAACAAAGCTCATTTCATTAACTGAATTTTTAAATAAATTTGTATTTTCTTCAATAATAAAATTTGATAAAACGTATTAAAACATGATATAATTTAATAGTATTAATATTTAGTGGAATATAAATATAAAAAACTAAAAAAAATAACATTATACTAAATTCACAATCCTAAACATGTTAAATAAATAACATATGTTTTATACTATAGAAATCAATAAAAAAGTGGCCGACTATAAAATAAATTACTGCCTATTTTAAATATTTTGAATTTTGACAGAGAATTAAAACCAAAAACGTCATATTCTTAAACCTTGTAATAAACATTGATTTTATAATATCTATTATATAATCAATATAATGAACAATAATCGAACAATTTACCGTGGTCTCGTACTTTCGTTGGTCAATCTATAGTTTTGGAAACATTTAAACTTGTATGTTTTTAACAAACACGAATTCAAATATTTCCAACCAATTGATCATTGAGCGTTCAAAATTTTTAAAAAAAAAGTATATTTAGTTTATAAATTCCGCTTAGTGAATCTAATTTAAATTTCTTCATATAGTTATATATTCATCTATTTTGCCTGTAGAATATTTTCATATAAATCATTTTGTAAAACGAAAAAATCATTAATTTTACTTGAAATACTAAAATAAATATTAATGAAACAACTTCAAGTTATGCAGTCATCATTTCAAAATACAAGAAAACATATTTTTTTCAAATAAGTTTATTCATGTTGATAAAAGCCCAACAAATACAACGCTCAATAATGCAGTACAATAGTAGGGTTGAATTATTAATAAACATTTTCATTATGCCACTGTATTATGTTACTACACTATTATATGAAATTAAACATTCCAGTAAATTTATAAGACTCAGATCTACATAGATTTAATATGAAATATGAGCATAATTAAAATCAAGTGACGACTCATGAATAAGTCACAGCAGCGACCGTTCGATTACATTCACAATTATGAAAAACGGAGAATTTGAAGAATTCATTTTAAAATTCGTCAATAATATACTTTAATAAATATATTCTAGAAGTCTTACCTAATAATGATAATATTTCAAAAATTGTTATATTTTTCATTGAGAAAAATATTATAAATATAAAAGAATTTAATTGAAATTTAACTCATCACTGACATTAATCAAGAGTTCAACTTTAATTCCAAACATATACCAACAAGATACGTTTTGAAAATCTTCAACAATTATAAATCTTGTATTTTATATATTTTTAATTATTTATTCGAGTTAACTTTGTAAATGAGTTACTAAAATATTAATGAAATAATTAGTCATGGAATATAAAAAACATGTCATCTTATAGAATCTAGGTAATTCAAGTAACCGAATCGAGTAGTAAATTTCACTAAAACTTTACACAGCCAAACCCTAATTTCCTAAATGCTATGAACGGGACTTTTAAATCACTAATAAAAGTTAATGTTTTCAATAATGATTGGTTTGATTGGTTTCTTTATGATAACATTTTATCTGAATTACAGATTTGATTAAATAGAATATTAAATTAAACTATCTTCTAATCTTCTAAGTACCAACCAATTTTTTTTTTTTTTAGATCATCGATTAAGACAAAATTATTAATGGTAAAAATAATTTTAAATAACTATAGAAACTTTTTTTTCGAACGTGTTTTTTCTAAATTATTTTCTAGCTTATTCTTAGTTATTTTTATAATAAATAATCTAATTTTATCTTTTCAATTTATATTTCATATTTTATTTTTTTTTAAACTATATTTCACAATTCCAAAATTTTTTTGTCGTAATTCATAAATCAAATTTATAATACGTGTATTTAAATTAAAAAATACTGAGAATAAGGACCTTCAAATGTTTGTACTGAATGTAATTTTAATAATCTCCAAATTCAGAGTGTAGACGTGTAATCTGTGTCTTTTGTAAACAAACATAATTGCAAAATCCTGTTTTGTAATATCAAAATTACTTAATCACTCTGTCTTTAGTAAATTGGAAAATATTTTAATTCATTCAATATTTAATAAATATGATTTTGAATATTTGAATAGCCGATAAAACATTGAGACCGAGTGTTTCCCATTATTTATATTATAATGAATAGTATCATTGTTTTAATTTCTTTGAATGAATTTGAAATGGATTATAAACCACAATATTCAAAAACGATTCTGAGCTAAAATATAATATAAATATGTATATATACCAAGTAGAAAAACTATACGATATGTCAAAAATTATAAGTTTTTTTTTAGAGACGTGATAGTTATATACTATAATCACTACGATTTAATCATAAATAAATATCTAATAAATAATCATCTATAAAATTAATTAAAAATATATCCCCTCTTTGAATTTTAATAACATTAAACTAATTCATATTTGAATATATAATGAATGATATTATATGTATGTCATAAACTTATACCAAAAAATCCTTTAATACACTGAATAGTGACTAAAATATTTATTTAATGAACTAAATATTACCTCTGAACCCATTAATTATTCTAAACTATTTAATGATAATTATCTTGTGAATTAATGACATTAATCACACTTATTTATAATCTTATAAGCACGTTAGGCCTACCGGATCTACATGCTGGATACACATGACAAAAATTAATTTTATAAATTTAATATGAAATATATCAAAACATTTTTATTTCATGAATAAAAAAATTACTAAAAATTATAACGGTGATGTGAAAATGGTTTGGCACTGGATGTATTCATCTGAACATCAATCAATACTTGTATGTTAACTAAAATTAAATCAGTTTTGTGTTAATAATAAATTTTATACACTTATATTTTAAAATGTATGTAGTTTATTAATTAATTTTATTTGACTTATGTGTATATTACTGTTGTGAAAAATGCACGCACCTCTTGATTTAAAACTCTTACCTAATTCTGAGTTTATGTATTCTATGATCTCTTCATCTTTTATCTGGTACTATTTATCGTAAAAATTAAAGGCAGACAAGGTTAGGTTACTACTAAGGTCTAGTAAACACAATTTTCGAACACTTCTAAACACTAATAATGTATAGAATTTAATAAACATCCGATCACAATAACATTAATTAATAATTAACAAATTAATTCATTATTATATCACTATTTATTTGAGTAGAGAAAATTAATCAAATCGAACACACAAATGCTGAAAATTTATTTTATTTTTTTTTTTCGATTTCGTATGTATCGTTTTCAAACACTACTTTTCCCACGACGGACAAGCATTTTGATTAACGACCGAACCCCCGGAGAGACGTGACTGCATGCAACGACTGAAAAATTCGTGGCACCAACACTCGGAGCCGGTAGCACTACTGGGATAAGAGGTGTGGGGTGGAAGAAAGGCAGTGTTCGAACAGCGCATGCTATCCATGAAATCCACAGGTGCCTCGAAATATGTTTCTATCACTTCAATCGATTTTTATAAGTTATCGAGTACAGTACGTTCGCCATAAGTTTATCAAAACATAAATGCGTTACAATACAGTGTTGAAGGAACAAAACAAGATTTTATTACTAATGTATGAGTCAATTTCATAAATATCATGAATGAAAAAATCATACCGAGCTTAAAGTATTAGAACTCAGCCTTATTCGACATATGGGTGGTTACTCAGTTCTGGATCATGAATTATTTTGAATGAGTCAACAAAAAATTGATATAATATTCAAACTTGTTCGTATAAAATATGAAAAATACTTTAAAAAATTACATTAAAAATTAACGAAAAATGACATCATTTTTCTTGTAAAACAAGAATAAATTAAGCCTTGAGGTCTTTTTTAAATTACTTTTTCGGTAGATTTTCACGGAAAGGATTAAATGTAAAGAGTTGTTGACGAGACATTAACCCCCACATTTTTTCGGTATCGACTATCGAAATTGCAATGTTCGATAGGTATTACTTAAACATAAATAAGAGTCATCATTTTTTTTTTTTTTTTTTTTTTTTTTTATTTATTGGAACGGTAGACGAATGATCCCCATTGTATGCAATGAATATTATTTTTTAAAAGAGAGAAAATTATGTAAACATATCGGGTAACCTTCACATAAATGTTAAATATTGCATTTGGAGCAGATTTAAATTGTAGTATGTATACGAGGTCGATTCATTAGTAAAATAAATAAAAATCGTACTTTTTTTATTTATAAGTGGTAAGATTGATTCAATAATTGAAAGAATAATGACAGTTCACTGTTTGCTTTAATGTAGATGAAATGCATATACAAAATACCGTTTTCCAGATAACGTACCAGATGACATCACATTAATCATATTTCTATTGTATTATAAAAAAAAGGTATTTATTTCTACATTAATTATAAACACTGATATACTGTAATTCATACATGTTGTAATTAGTTAAATTATAAGCTACAATATCAACGAAAACTATAATATTTATTTATTTGAAACGTACTGCACATAATAATCTAAGTGGAATTCAATATTTTCAGAAAACTTCTGAATTGTCTTTCTAATTGTCTCCATAAAAATAGGTGTTATATACAAATAACTACTTATTTGTATCCTACTTCAACTGACACAATGAGTAAAAACATTACAATACAGTTTAAAATTTGTAAAAAAGTTTAACAAAAGTTTTTATATGCACACTTTTAAGTTGTATTTATGTAAAGTAATATTATCAATATATCATATAAATTATCTTTTTAAAAACTTTAGTTTCGTAGTATATTTCAGTGTTTAAATACTTAAATAAATCATTCGTTAATATTTTTTTAAAAAATAAGTACTTTAAAAAGTAAGCCTTAAACTGAGAATATATTGTGATGGTTCTGGTATTTAGTCATCAAAATGTTTCTTTGAAATACTAATTATTTAATATCATGACAATTGTAACTTTGATAGCGGCAAGTGTAAAACCTACGAGTTAAATTTATATACTGTAATATTTTTTTTATTTATAACGATATTATTTGAAATATGAATAATCGCTAATTTCTTATAACATTCAGTGATGAAGTAAAATCATAACAATGATCCATATACATTCAATCTTTTTAAATATAATTATTAAACCAAAATATTTAAATTTGAGAAAATGTGTTTATATTTTATAAAATGTGTGGTGTTAGTATTTCATTAAATTTTTTAGTAAATTACAATTAACGTTTCAATATTTTATGAAATTGTTATTTATGGAAAGTTATTAATGTTTCGCAAACTAAGTTGAAAATATAAAACATAAGCTTTTCCAACAGAATTTTATATTTATTATCATTTGTTGGACCATGAGACTCATGTATATTTATATATAAGCGTAAATTATTGACATTTATAGGATTTTTATAATATCATAAATTATTCAAAATTCATTTTTCGATCATTAATCTTTGTATTCCTTAAATATTAAAATATCCATTGTTTGGTTGCTATCAGTTAAATAAAAGTTCGTACATTTAATAATTAAATAACTCAGAGTAATTATTACTCTGAATTATTTAGAAGTAAATATTATTCAAGTTTAATAAAATGATAAGAAAATACTCAAAGTATATTTAATTTTATCATAGTTATAAAATTAATAAAGAATTCATCATTTTCTAATTCAATTAAAGAACATACTGCATTAGGTTCGTTAAAACTGAAATGATACTTTAAGTTAATTTACATAATTTAAACTAGAGTGCTATACGTACTAGAAACAATTATGCTTTATTTATCGAAGCATTTAAATTTACAGAGGAAATGAATGATCTTCGTTAAATTATAAATAGACAAAAAATCACTAAACTTGTTAATTGACTTTTCATTATCATTCAAAAATTTCTTAAAATGGTTGGTTTGATATTGATGAGTAAAATTCTAATTTTAAAATTTAAGTAAATCATTTTAAACGCGATATAAAAATATCTACTGTATGTATTTTCGGCTAAAAAATTAAAATACGGACACTTCTGTCATGAAACAAAAATGTAAATCCAAAAAAATATAGTAAATTATGTACCGACTTTAAATGAAACAATTTTTTATTTTACTTTTACATTAAAAATAACAAATTTGTACCAATTATTTTTAAAATACATTTTCTTTGTTGCGTAAATATACTTAAATAAAAAATTAATTAATTAAAAATAATTTTTTCTTTGGGATTTTGAATTCATCTTACCGTCAAAAGTTATCAAATCGGCTTGAAATAATTGTATTTTTTGAGGTAATAAAAATATGAATACAATTTTAACCAATTAATTATATAAATTAAATGTATTATATTTTAATAATCAACCAAATATAAGATATGAAATGTAAATTACTACTTTGAACTACATTATATATATTTTATATAAGTAAAGTTTGATTTAAATTCAGATTTTGAATGTTGAAGAAAGTATAACCTAATTCTTATTATTAGAATTTATTTGGTTCTGCTAATTATTTTTAATTACTATGATGTTTTTAGTAGTAATGGTCGAACCCTGATTTTTTAAATCGAACGGAACAACGGAACTGAACTTAAAATTATTTTTTTGAATTCAAACTGAACCGAACCTTCATATTTTTTACCAAACCTAACCAAACCGAACCTATTATGATTTTAAGTTGAACTCGAACTCAAACTCAATACTTTTTATCGTGTAAATTGTACCTACCTACAAATTAAATCAACCATAATTATTAATTACTGTTGCATTTTAAATTTTCGTATTACCTATTCTACATTTTAACTATTAAGTTTAAGTAATTGAGTAATTGTATTATTTACAATACATTTAAATTTTAGATTATTTCTTATTATTATTATTATTATTTTTCAAAACCCGTATTTTGCACTCTCGTGTTGCCATGTATCTTATAAAATATTCATTGAGTATTGAGTATTGAATGTAAGATGACAATACAATCAGTATATTTTAATAATATATAAAAAAAATAGTAATAATAATTATAATTCACAAATATAGAATGATTAGTAGAATTTATAATGTAAGACGTAAGTTGTTAACATGTTTTTATTAACAGCACAGTCGCGGTATCGGAATATTACCATGAATTTACCAAAAATAGATTTTAACCTCTTCAATAAATATGATAAAAACAAAATAGCTAATTTATGGATGTAGATACACTACCTCTATTGGTGATAAACAACTTATTAATGTTTGGTCGGCGGAGAATGGATGTGTAACATGCGACTGGAAAAATAACATTATTATTATAAATAATGCATAACGTGCCCTTTACAAATTATCATTTTCTATCGCCAATAGTCTAATTATTTCTAAATAATCATTATCAACTTTTATTTTTCAAAAAAAACTTTTGAAGAATTGTACAAAAATTTAGTTTTCGAACTATCGTGACTAGTAGTCTAGTCTAGTTTTGAAAAATATTTTCAAGTTCGATTTTCGAACAGTAAAAGATGCTTGATAGTTCGGTTCGATTTTTTTTTCATGCCGAGTTCAAATTTCGGACCGAATCCTTGATGTTCGGTTCGGTTCGGTTGGAGATTCGTACAGTTCGGCCCATCACTAGTTTTTACCAATGTTTATGAATCTAATTCTTATTTTATAATTTGTTTTACCTGTAAATTTTTATGAAATAATACTTCCTGTAAACATATATATTTATTAGAAGCTGTTTATAAGTTTATCCTTGTATATTAATGTATAACATAAAATAAACTAAATTAAAAATTATTCAAGTTTTTAATTTATATCCAACCACTTTTTGTTTGTATTTATTACATTAGTACTTTAATTATTTAATTAAAATAGTTAAAGTATATCATGTATTCAATTTTAATTAATACAACCACCAATGTATAACATAAATGCGCATTTAAGATATTATTCAATAGACCAATCTACAAGTATAATTGTATATCCTGAATCACTGTGCTCTGAAATTACTAATTGCAAATTATATCGACATTTTCACATCAATACCTTCAATTAATAGAAATAACATGTTTAATGTATAATTACCTGTCGTTAGAAATTATACTGACATAAAATAGTGTTAAATATCAATCGTGTCAATTAGTATCGGTAATTGAAAGCGGGTAGTGTTGGTTTCGATTTAGTGACGTTCAGCAATGAACCAAATAATATATAGTGTAATAAGTTATTAC